TTTAAAGGGTTAAACCTCAGAAAGAAAGTGGGAAACATTTTTATTTAAACTTTAATTCTTCAAATAAAAAACGAGTGAAGTAAATAAAAGCTGAGAGCAAAGATGTGATGAAATATGGAAACTGAGTGTGTCAGACCTGCTGCAGGGGCGCAGAGCCCATCTCACGGGCAGAAGGAGGAAACCTGCTCTGCCTCCGGAGACCTGAAGCCTCCAGGCTGTCTCTCAGGGCCTGGAACACCTCCAGAGCTTCCTCTGACGTGGACACAAACACCAGCTTGTCCCTCACGGCCTTCTTCTGTGAAACACAAGTATGTGTGCAAAAAAAGACCAAAGAATCAAAGGTCTATGCAACCAGTGACGTGTGATTGTGGAACATGTCTTCCTATGTCAGCGTCCTGTTTTGCAGACAGTCCCTGCTTACTTGTGCTAGAGTTTCACATCAGGACACAGAAAACATGAACCAGAGTGGAGTCGAGTCAGTCTCACACATGTATACACGTCTGTTGTTTGTGGATATAAAAACACTTCTTACCTCACACACTACATCATCCTTCCAGTATCTGACCACACGGTACTGCCGCCCCTCCTCCCCTTTGAAGCTCTGCAGCTCCAGCACACACCAACTGCTGCTGTTTACCTACAGCACACATGTTTAATACCAGTGAGAGTCATTACAGTGATTATTGCTGTGGGAATATCATGAGTGGTGAGCTACAAAAACGTTCTTTTACCTTCTCAAAGATTGAATACTTTGCCACTTGAAAGTCTCTTTGGTCTGATGGAAGATCCGAATCCGTTTCTCTATAAATCCTGTCAAGATGAACATTTCAAACATCAGTCGTCTTCTGAGGCGCCGCGACTGCAGAAAACGTGTCAGAGCAGTCATCTAATAACTACAGAGAACAAACAGTTCAGGTTTTTAACCAGGCCAAGCTTTCCAGATCTGAACCCAACGTGGGCGGGGCTGAAACTATGACCCTCTGTCTGTGCTGCAGTTCAATGAGGTACCAGCAGATGGAGACACCTGATTTCAAGCCAACATGACAATAATCACAATCTTTGTATTACTGTAGGCTCTACCTGACAATATAAAGACACCACTGTTGTTGTCATGTGGTATAAACATGTAATTACATATTAGCAGCCCAGCTTTAGCATTTCTGGCACAGAAGGACGCTGGGATGCACTTCGTGCCTTTACTAGTGATTCTTGACTTTAAATATATTGTATAAGCAACTTCTGCTTGTGTGTCCACTTCACACTCGGCAGAGGCAAAGTGTGAAACGCACACCGTGCACCTATTACACGCCTATTACATGCCTATTACACGACTATTACACGCTTTGCCGTGTAACCGCTCACATGAACCCAGTTTGTGTCTAAATCAGAGCAGAATGGACTTGGCTGTTAACCATATAGCACATCCAGGTTCTTGAACCAGAATCAGACACATATCTGATCCCAAACATTAGATCAGTGCATCCCTGGTACTTTGTCCTGTGACAGGTCAGAGGCGTCTTCATAACTCAGGGTGTCGACATTAACAGACAGATGATCCTAATGTGACTCGCTGATAGACAGATGGCGTCTCTCACCTGAACCTGTCCAGCACATTCCCACTCCTCTCAGGACTCTCTGCCCTCTGAGTCCCACTGACACGCTCCACAGGTTGGGCCCGGCCTTTTGACCCTACAGTATGGACACACACACAGTTTAATAATTAACTCCATATCATATCACGCTGTGCATAGATCTCTGCACACACCGAGGAGCAAACAGGTTCTTATCCATTTGCACAACAGTGCTGCATCAGCTTTAAACACAATGTGACTGTGTAACACTGCACACAGCTGCACCCAGCTGCACCCACCCATGTTCATCTGACCTAATAAAACTAGTTCAACCTGCTGGCTCAGTCTCCTGAACATTTTTAATGTGAATGCATTTCAATCAGTGTGGGGGGACCATGTTACTGAGCAGTAAAGGAAACATCAGCATGTGCTGCATGTGGGTAGAATCAGCAGCTTGTCTGTGTCTGTAACACAAATTAATGGGAAAAAGAAATAAATGAAACTGTAAACATCTGCTTAGTGGTGCTTTCTATACAGACCTATCTGCTGAGGTGCGAGTGAAGCCAGCGGAGCCGTCTTGAAGGAGGGGTGATGAAGAGGACCTGATGAGGCAGAGGACGTGTCCAGCTTGTATTCATCTACCTGCAGGAGAACTCCTGTCTCCACACACCTGTACACATAATCCACCCCGACCACAGGTGTGCGGTGTTTCTGAATGCTGCGCAGCCTGTTGGAGCTTAGGTTGGATACATCGGTTGTCACTACCAAAGAGCACTGTGGGAAATGTAGGAAGAAATGAGAGAGAAGTCTGAGATGTTTAAATGTATTTATTGGTTTTTGGTCTCTGAACATAAAGCTGCAGAATGAGCACTTTTGCTCACTTGTGTGCTTCTGTTGGTACCAGACTGTCCTGTGAGATCATAACCAACTATTAACTACATGTTTCTATAAATGTGGGAGAATTCTAGTTTGAATGACTTCGATCATTCGTGGTGCAGCTTGGTTTCAAAACCTACGAACATGTTGTGAACATTATACTGAAATAGTCACGTGCTGCAGCTCGATATGGACGCAGTAAAGTAAAGTTTAGTAAAGTCTGATTTGAGTATTCAGCCGTGAGGAGCCCCGCCTCCCTCCCTGACAGCTCTCTGACCTGTTTGTTGACCACAAACGAAAGGTTGCCTCCGTGACCTGTGACTGCTGACTTCACCTTCTTCTTCTCCTTGAACGACAAACCTCTGAGCTCGAACAGCACCGAGCAGTTGTCGAACACCGCCATGTCTGGAAGCCGAGGGAGACGTGTATCAAACAGCTGGCGCTTCCGCCAACTCCTGTTAAAATGCGGAAGTAACTCGCAGCAAAAAGTATCCAATGAAACC